GGCCAAGCGATGACTTGCTCGAGAGGAATGAAGATCCTCACTTCGGAGCTGGCCTCGGTTGGAGCGTCTCGGCTCCCTGGTTGGAGTCCAAAGGATGATGAACACGTTTGGCTGGATACACTTGTTGATATGGCAAGGAGCAAGCTCAGTGGCGTTCCTGCTGCGACTTTTTTTGTCCCACCTCATCCCTCTTAGCCTCCTCCTCCAACTACGTGGTCATTTTTTAACATTTTATGATTTTGCGTCAGAAATTACTTTTTTGCTGCATAGTAGCCGTCAGATAGCTTACCGGAACGATGCCTATCCGTTACCGATAGCTCAGCCGGCTTGCAACAGTAGTTTTTTCTTCTTTTTTCTGTGTATCGCGGCACAGTAGCTGATGTGTTTCCCACCTCTAGCTGACGTGTATAATGATGTATTATGATGATGATATTTTCTCCTGGTTCAATTTCTTTCTCTCTATTGAGTTTGAACTCTTGCTAGTTCGAGAATTTAAATAATAAGGATTGCATCGGTCACCAGTGATGTACCGTTGCCGTTTCTTAATCGAACTGCCTTTTTAAATTGTGTCTGGTGACTTATCTGTGGTACAATGGTTGGTTATGACGAAGTGTACTGAAAAGACGCATAAAAGTTGTCCCACTGATACCGGTGGTGTGTTGTTGATGAAGTCTAACCTCTTTGCTCCTCAATGTTTGCATAGGGCATTTAGGCTTTACATTAGGTCCCCCCACTCATTCCCTAGGCCATGATGGTTGTGCGGCGACGACGCATCGGTTCCAGTGACTGATTTACTGCTATTGATGTTGATAACACGTGTTGTGTCTCAGTCCAGCCATTCTCAACGTGAGCCATATGACCCTGAGACGAGACAAGTTTTTAGGGGGCCATTGCATGAGCCATGGTGTGAAAAGTGAGGTTATTTTGACAGAAATAACAAAATTCACTTTAACATTTTCTGGTATTTTCTCTCCGGGCCTTAATCTCCCCTGGTCAGTGGAATGAAATATCACGCACAAGTGACTGTTTACGAAAGTGTGAAACCAGCTCCGCCAAACTTGTTCCCATTGCTCCAGGCTCACCTCAAACATGCAATCACCATAGGGCGACAGATTGCGCAACTAACAATCTATTCATCCTCAGGACTTTGATGCTTGTCCACCGTGAACCAACTGAGCTTTACGCTGGACACTGATACATCTACTGTGCAAGCTGTAGTGAACCCTCTTAACTCTCCAGCACACTGCGGTAGTTATCGCACAAGCCCACACTGACACTAACTGCGTTTTGCTCATGACACTACCACTTTGTGACAACTGAGGTGCCGGTCAGTCTTTCTTCTTCGGGTCTCAGTGTGATAGCGCTAGGTTACGGGTTTTTCGTCTCCGGACTCAGCTCGCGTGCACTGGCGGTTAGGTCACGTTAGCCGACAGCGTTCCTAATTCCAGTCGCTACTCTGCGCGCATGGAGTACTATCTCTGAAGAACGTTCGTTCTGACTAATAGTCGAAATAGATAGGACACATTTTAACGCTTTTTCAAACATTCAGTTCAGTTGAAGTTCTCAAATTAGCGAGCAGTTTTGTCAACTAACATCATACGTGTGGACATCTGGTCTTGTAATCTGACAGCGCGAGTTCGCGCCCTGCGTGAGGACTGGACGACCCTCGCAGTATCCTTAGCCAACGTGCAACCACGGGTGGTTTCGAACCGGCGCACCGCTAATGCCTTTTTTAAAACACACAAAGTGTATATAAGGACACTTCTCGTAATACTCATACTACCCGAATAGCTTGCCAGCGAGCCTTGGATGACATTGTTTGGCAATAGCCGATGTATGTCATTAATTTTGTTGTCAATTTTTCCATGCCGGTTTCTTGAACTATCCGACATTTTCTTTCGTGCTTGTCTCTTCTGCCCTCCATTTTACCTTTTGTCACTGTTTGCTATGTTTGTATGTGTGTCCAGTGAGCATTGTCATTTTCTGCGTTCCATTTGTTTTCTTCATTGGCTTTTGTCAAGAAGTTTTCTTCAGTCATTTTAGCTATCCACGATATTTTCAAAGTCATCCTCAGAAACCACCTTTGGGTTGCCCCTAACAGTGTTTCTACACTTTTACATTGTAACATTGTAGCCACCAACAGCTGTTACAAGTATGCTTACCAAATGTTTCGTAAACTTACTGTCAAGCAGGAACACCTTTAGTGCTACCATTCATTCTTATTACCTGTCGAATGATGTTATTGAATACCCATGCTATAACTGTGTAAGGAAAATAAAACATGCAGTATATATATATATATATATATATATATATATATATATATAATTCAGAAATGTGCTCCTAGGAAAATAAGTAGGGTCGACAGTACTCCGGGGAATACCTGTCATTTGGAGTTATCACATCACCTCAAAACCCCCTCGCTACCTATGTGTTTTATTCGCCAAAACACTTTCAACTGAAAGTATGCGACCAAATAAACAGAAAAATCATTTGAAAGTGTTCATATGAACGAGAGCGGAAAGTTTGTGGATTGTTTCAGAAAGCTGAGGGATAGTTTCGGAAACAGACCAAATTTAAAGACTGTGGTTTCTGACAGGGCAAAAGATTGCAGCGTCTTATAAAATCAGCAAGTAGATTGCCAAAAATTGCAGTCCACATAATGTTGGAGAACATATTGTCTTGTCTTTGGAATCAATAGTACTATCTGACCTGATGTATCTTTATCCACAAAAAGCAGCTCAAGACATTCTGCTCGTCAATCCGACTGTTTGTAGGCGAATCGATGAGATGGCTTAGGACATAGAAAGTACCTTAGTTAGTTTACTACGATCCTGGAAATTTCGTTACAATTAGATGTACCTGCTGTACCTGACAACGACGCTCTTCACGTGTCATATGTACGATTCTACAGTTATACTGAATTGGTGGAAGAGATGTTAACCAGAATTAAAACTCTTAGCTATCTAACTGAAAACTCCATTTCAGTACAGAACATAGTTGCATGTGCAACAGATTGTGCTTCCGGAAGATATAAAAATTTAATTTCCCATCTAAAAGAATGTTCGCCATTTTGCTCATGCAATTCACTGTGTAATTCGTCGAGAGCACCTATTGGCTAAGAACTTGGGAGGACGCATAAACGATTCACTGTCAACAATATCAAATCACACCCTCTTCAGGATCATTTTTTCAGCAGTTGTGTGAGGAAAACAGTAAAGAGTTCCAGGTTCTACTGTTGCATACGGAACTGAGATGGCTCTCCAAGGGCAACTGATCGCCGTTTTTTGCACTATGGGATACCATCATCACATTAATTTCTGGAAGTGATTATGAACGAAAACTGTTAACAACTAAGCCAGATGTGTTTTATCTGGCTGATGATTTTGAAAAACGCGACTTATTAAATTAAACTTCAAGGCAAGTTGAGTAATTTCCTCTCAAGCAAAGAAACCATTATCCCTTTTCTTAAAATGCTTAAATGTATGCTCAAAACATCGGACATCGGAAATTTTTACAGTTCCCACTTCGCGCTACAGTCACGGAGGAGATAAATGATGAAAACTTGCTTGTTTATGTCAGTCATTTACAACAAATCCGAAAACAACTAATAGACTGGCTTCATGACCTGCTTGACATGGAAATCCCTACTTGAATTTTAGTTCCATTTGATGTACAGTCCTGTGATGTTGGTCAAAATCCAGGAAAGTCTCATAGAGTTTCAAAGTGACACACTAGCAAAATCCAAATTCACGCAATATGAAAGGGATTTTTGGATGAAGACCGATGCCCTTAACAGATATCTCAGACTGTGAGAAATAGCTGAAATATATCTCCTTGCTTTTCCATCCTCATGGTTGAATGTTGACTCAGCAGACTGATTTCAAACCAAAAGTAGGAACAGGCTGGAAATCACAGCAGATGATCTTCTACTCTCACTGTCTTCTTGAGCCGGACATAAGCAAGTTCGCTCAATGACGTCAGGCCCAAGGTTCACATCAAAATCACGACAAACCTTGTTACGTTGTCACTACCCCTAATTCAGGACATATCTTATAGTCAAAAACCAAAAATAATTAAATACAGTTAAAACTATTATTGATGACTTGTGGAATTACAGACGAATGACTTCATGTTGCCGCACAACGTATGTTACCTTGATCTTGTGAAAGTTAAAAAAGGTTTATAACACAAAGAGCATTGATACCAACATTAAAAATTTAGCCCTCAGAATCAAAGATACCAATTTGACCACTGGAAATCACGGATTTACGTCTGTTAAGCGTTGTGTGTTGCTAAAATTGTGGTAATCAAAGGTGGGCGACCATGAGAAATGGAAATGTTCAAACGGTGTCCATGGTTGAATAAAGGTTGTGAATGTCTGTCTTAGACCATACGCAACCGCTTGTGTTTACACTTCGTATAAGCTGCAGGGCAATTTACTGGTGCATTTTGCCTACACTTTTGTCAATGACTTTGACAATCACCACGAACCTTTCCATCTTTTGTAAACCTTTCCTGGCTCTACCGAGATTGTGTATCCACTTGCTTCTCTTTGTCACTTATATTTTTCTCACCTCCCCTGCTCTTCTGTACATTCTTCTTCTGCTATCTCCCGCGATCATTATGCTGAGACCGGTAACCATCGCGGCCACTCCAAGCCATTTGTAGTCTACATTGGGGTTGTGAACCAGTCGTTTGGCTATTTTTTGTTATACTCTGTTTTTATACGTTGCCCTTTATAACATTCCTTTGTGCGCATTCTTGAACCTGTTGTGTAGGCCATAGGCCGAAAGGGTAAGACGTTTGTCCTTTAACCGAAAACTCATCGATTCGAAACTGTGTACTTGCGGGCGACCTCATAGTATAACCTGTCCCACACGTGGCTGGTGGTAGTCGCCTGGCCAGCATAGCGGCGGTACAATGTGCCGGCGCCATGCTGATACCTTTTCTTTTTAATGAAGCTTTGCGTTTTCTCGACGCATCTCTCTTCTACACAGCTCCAACCGTTCCTCAAGGTGCCGCCGTCAAACTCATCCCGTTCCAACACTGACGATGCACCGCGTTTTGCGACGCGTGCGCTCATCCGGGCAGTATGCGAGGTGCTCTGGACTAGGATGACATGTGGTAAAAATCGCGAGAAAGTCACTCACACACAAAGCGTCTACTCGTTTCTCTCGAGTGAGTTTTGGGCTTGATAAACTCTTCCTGCCGTTAAGTCAAATTTACTAATCGCATGGCATATTGGAGCCGATTAGGTCGTATCATTTAGCATTTTTCTTTGCACAGGTGGGATTGTGGATAGCTTTGGTTTCGCTTATACGGCGGTGGCTGCATGTCAACTACTTGATTATTCCGACGTGCATCTTGCGCTCTCGGAAGATCACGGTTGGGTGGAATTCGGCCCTCCAGATGCACGTCAGACAGCCGATGTCGCTAGCTGGTTGCAGAGCGTTCATATGGCCCATGGGCACGACGGCATCAGTCTTGCTGAGTCCCAATCACTGTCATCAGGAGGTGAAAGCGATCAACCCATTACGAAATTGACTGTCTTCGACGATCAGGGCTCTCCACCCCCTGTTCGAATTCCCCCTTGGACTCATTCGTGGCTGTATGTCAACGGATATCCAGTCATCTGTCATCCACGTATACTGGCCGTTGCGGCGGCGATCGCTTCCCTGCAACCTGGTTCCACAGTTCCAGTGCATACTCCGTCTCCAGCTTCAGTACCAAGCGTCTCTAACTCGATGCCAGCCTATTCTACTTCCACAGATTTTGCCACCACAAACAAATGGGCACGGCATTTGTCCACTCCTTCTGCTATTTCCATGCAGGTAAGCCCTAGTTATCTCCTTGTCGCTCTCTGCTACTCTGTTAGCGCATCTGCCCTCTCTCCTCATTTACATTCTGCGCACAGTTCGGTGTCCTTCATCATAATTTCTGACAAATTCTTCAATCCTGTTGGTGCACAGCTTCATGCCTGCAAGTCGAAACGACAACTGATTCATATTATTTCTTATCCAGAACCTCGACTAAAACATGTTTGAGGTGTGCCAACTCAGGCTATCCAGTACAGCGAAAATAGTTCCCCATCTGCATGGTTGCTTGTGGTCAGCCTTTCACAGTGATCTAAATCACATAACACCCTCTTTCTCTATCATCCGCATGAACAATGCGTTGATACTTTGTACTGACCATACCATCATAACTGACGCTAGACAGTGCTAACTGCATTGTATCATTTCAAACACGCAATACTGAGTGGTTGCATAGAGTATCGCAGTATAGTCATCTATCATTTTCTTTATCCATGCTTTTACTCTTTGACGGTTCGATACCCAAAAACTGTAAGGCTATCTGTTGGCGTTTAGTTCAACTATATCTGTATTTGCTAGCACAGAACCAAGTTGGTCGGCACCAACCATCCCTTAATCTATGTACAAGATAAGTACACCCTTATCGCTGATCGGGTCTGAAGCCAACGGTGATACCTGGCCGCCAGGAATTAAGGTCCGTCGTTTCCATCCCTATTAGACTGACCTGTGGTCTTAAGGATTACAAGCCTTCCTTGTAATGTGAGGTCACGGGTTTGAACCTGGGTAGGTGACTGGACGACCCTCGCAGTATCTTTGGTCCACACATTACGTGATGGTTGCGCGGCAACGAAGTATCGATACTGCATACCGGCATACTGCCTTTACCTCCTCATCACCTGTAGCATGGTCATCGAGAACTACGATTGTGATACGTCAGTGCTTCTGCTAGCGTTCGGTTACCATGCAAACCTAGATTCTGGTGGGTGGCTCTAATAATAATGAGCACGAACATGAGCGAAAGGCGGTCGATCTGTTGTTTCAGAACTCCTTGTCAACCGCACGATCGTCCAAAGTGAATTTTTATATGGAGGTTAGCTACCATCCATGAGAATGCCTCCTTGTGTTTTTAATCAACTTTGTCTGAATTAAACCTGGCCCCGCAAAATCTCATACCTACTATAAACAGGCAGTTCAGTTAGGAAACGCTGCTGCCACCAGTTACGAGCCACCTCCAATGTTCAGGTCAAGTGCAGAGTAATTTGCGCTAATCCCTGCCGAAGGTATGACAGGTCAGTTGCACCTGGTCCACTTGTCGATGACTTCAATTATTTACTTCTGCCTTAATGATTACCCTTCTGAAACCTTACACCCTCTAGCATCTGCCGAACGAAATGATGCTTCTCGATAATTAGTAAGCCGACAAACATCGTATTTATCCATGCCACCTTGCTTTGTACGGTTATGGGTGTCGATCTGGCTTGCTTATGCTTTCTCCCTTCTACACCTTTGTGTTTGTACGCTGCTGCTGCTGCTTGACAGAATCGATACTCCACAGGCTGCGAAGCTCGAGTGCTTGGATGCACTCACGTTCTTTGGTTGGGTTCGGTTAATCTTCGTTGTCCCAGACAAGAACGGCCTTTACCAATACTCCGTGAATATCAAAACAATTTCCGTATGAGGTCAAAAACATTATCGTATCATGATGGTGTTACCAGCTATCCAATACATAAACTCATCCCAGCACTCGTGTCCGTCACTACTGACACAAATGTCACGATGGCTAGACCGATAACAATCTTAGTCCCCGGTGATCGACAACCCCGAACTCTTGGGATATACTTGAACTGATCGAGAAGTCATGGTTTCAGAGATATTTGGGAGTAATCGTTTGGTGTACTCGGGTTTTTACTTATTTAAACAGCCGATTGTCTCCAAATCTCTGAATATGTGTGGTCCTTCAACCAACACTTTCCACTTCAAAGGCGCAGGGTGCATGCCAATGGATGGGACTAGAATTACTGCTGTTAGTTTGTCCACGGTTAAGTGTTCTATCCGCGATCATCGGACAGCAAGGAATTATCCGCAAAATCCGGATCAAACACTTTTTCCTCCGGTTGGATCTCATATTTTCTTAAGACTCAATGTCGAAACACTCCTTTATGGAACTCACGGTAAAATTGCCTACAAGAGGATGTCCTTGGAGAAATGCACTTGTTGTTGAAATGATGTTGAGAAATCTTCGTACTCCATTAGGTGGTTTAGCGCGGTGTATTGCTTTTTGTGAGCGCCTTCATAGGCTAGTGCCTTTAACTCATGCGAAGTGATTGACTGCGATGAACGCGTCATTGTTTTCGGAGAGCACAGTTGCAATCGACCGGTAGTACCTGTGGCGCTGCGCTAACGGCTAATCTGTGAAAATCTGGCGGTTGTAACCCTGTCTCATACAGAACCATGCCTGCTCTTCTGTCTTCCTGTGGTCTTTCTTAGTGAAGCCAGTATACCACCATCGGTGCCAAGCTGAGGTTAACACTAGCATTACAAATGTTTTTTTGGATTTGTCACTACTGTCGCTTCTGCCCAGTTGGCTGAAACGGTCTCTTCTAGACCTGCTCGTAAACATTAAGCAATTCATTGTAGTAGGCTTCTGGATACACTGGTTGACATGGCCTAGAGCGGGCCCCAATAGTGTTTATGTTTTGAGCTATTTGTCCCTCTCCCTACCTCTTATGATGCTGCTGCTGTTGCTGCTGATGATGATGTGGGACGGAGTGGCGGAATGCGTCATTCAACTGTGGCTGGTGTAGGTTCCGAAACGATCGATATGGGGAGAGCATTTCACGAATGACAGACGTGAATATAAACGAAATTTTTACGGCGCTCCAGACGACTACTTTGTTCCTCTAATTTCAAGTGGCGACCTCTCAAGTTCGTACTACTGCTGAATTGTAGTAAAGAGCGGCACACATGATTTGAATTGTGTAAAATCAAGTGCGCCATTATCAAGTCGCCTCGTAATCGGCGATACCGTCTGCTGTATACTCCCAAACGTTTCTGCCTCTGATCGTATGGAAGGTGGCGCATTCTAATGACGTATTTGGAAGCCCGACGTTGGGGTTGGTTCAGTGCAGTAAGGTCATGCTTCACCTATGAATGCCAGGTTTGAATTGCATATTCGACATGCAGGTGAACATACGCATTGAGTATTTCCAAAAATAGAGATGTATATTTGTCCGAACGCCCGTCGTAATAGGCCGACGTGTTGGTTACTATTTTCCGATTCCCTTTCGGATTGCCTGAAGCAACCCAAGTTATCCTGATCAAGCACGCCAACGTCGCTGCAATACTTACTTTGCTACCCTGTAGGAATAGGTACTCTGGTGTCGTGTGGAGAGTAATTTGCGTTTGTTCACGTTGAATTGTAGCAGTTTTTAGGTTGAGCACTGGTGTACCATATCTAGGTCACACTGAATTAAATTCTGATCGATATCTACCTGAATCCTGCTCCATGACTTGACGTCGTCAGCAAACAGCAGGAAATTCGAAGCGATTGTTTGTGCAAGGTTATTAGTAAGTGCCAAAAACAGTCGTTGCTCTAGAACTGAGCCCTGTAGCAAACCAGACTCGACTGGAATGAGATCAGATTAAGAGCACTGGACCCTGTCTACTAATTGTCGTTGTAGGAGAAAGTCGGTTATCCAGCTCAAGAGAGCATCTCCGCTTCCGTAATATTGGAGCTTGAAAAGGAGAATTCGATGATCTAAATGATCGAATGCCTTTGAACAATCTAAGTAGATCACATCCAGCGTCAGCTGACTTAGTCCAATTACTCCGTGCGATTAATAAATTCGTTGTGCACCATCGCTGTCGACGAAATCCGAGTTGTTGTGGCGCAATGATGTTACATTCTCTAGATAACACCAGCGCATCGGCAACGATGGGTTCCATGATCTTGTACAATAAAGGGAGAAACGACACTGAGCGGTAGTTTGAGGGCTCAGTCCTGCTTCCACCTTTGTGAATCGGAGTTGATATTTTAAGCTTCCACATCGCAGGAATCTGGTTCTGGTCTAGGCAGCGCTGAAAAAACTGTGCCATAGGTGTTGCCATTTGTCTTGCTGTTGCTCCTAATGCCTATGGTAGAATGGTGTCGACTCCCGAGGAACCGTGGTTACGCAGTGACGTCAACATCTTTAATACAGTTTCAGCAGTAATATAGATGTAATTTAGTCTTAGAGGAGGGATAACATAAGCTGGAGGACCATCTGATGTTAAAACCCTGAAATGTGGGAGCATATTGCGTCCGCAACGCGTTTGCTTCTTCTATAACCGTTCTTGTTAGACCATCAGCCGTCTGGAGTGGAGGAATTGCCTGCCACACTTTACGACGGCCATTGACATTCTTGTACGGCAGTTTGAGGTTAACGCTGAAGGTTTTCTGTATCTTCTGTTGTTATGCGGCTTATCGTCTCTGAGCAGGTGAGTGCAGCCATTACTTTGGGCTACGTAGTTTTCCCAAATACCTGGCGTTGTGATTGATCTATACTCTCGCCATGTCGTGTTGCGTATTGTCATTCATAATCTAGTTCTGCTGCTTACGAAAGAAACGGTTTTAGACCCATGACAAACCCTTGTCTTTGAAGCTTTCGTATCAAGTTGCTTGAATTTACTGACGCATTCGTACCAGGTGACTTCTGGGGGGTCATTAGCTAGGAATGACCAGATAGTTACACTGACAGGCTGAATTAAGCGATCGTAGCGTGTGGATGGTTCACATTGTCTCATAGTTCTCGTCCCGTTGTTTCGCATAGCAATCGTTACTGTATAGTTACTGCGTCCCAACGAGCAATCTAAAACCAGCACATCGATCGTATGCTCCTCGATGGTAAGCACTAGGTCTATCACAGATCGTCTGTTACCTGTCTCAACCGGGTGGGCAAGGGCGTGATTGTAAATCGAAGCAGTGGTTACGAGCTCTTGCAGACCAATTTTAAATTGTTCTCTGATCGTGGCAGGGGCTT